GTGGGACCCAGCCAGAGAGCCCAAGGCTCACTCGTGCCTGGCGCAATACCAATTGCGGGCAAAGACTCCATGGAGTCTCACGCTCCTAGCGTGCCCAGACCCACGCCCAGCGCGGGGAAGGCAGAGACCTACCAAGGTCTCGCGCCCATCGCAAATTAAATTGCGCCCGGCGCCCCCCATGGCAGAGACTCCCAAGGAGTCCCCGCGCCCCACGCGACCAAGATCGCGCTCAGCGCCATGCCAGAAGCCCAAAAACAAGTCACAACCGACATCGCGCCCAGCGCGATTCAACCCTCGCCCGGCGTGGGCCATCCAGAGGATAACATCTCCAAGCACGCCCGGCGCACACATCTTTGCGCCCAGCGGCTTGCCTAAATGCTGCCCTTAGGTGGCCACGCGCCCGGCACGAAGAACTACGCCCAGCGCGAGTTCAGCAGCAAACCTCATACTTTTCGAAAACTCTTCAAAAATCTGCACAATACTCAGAAAATTCCACATGCAATCGGTCCAAATTACCATATTTTCATCCAAGAGTCCAAAAATACTACCTTTTTACACATGCAACAACAAAATAAGAAAATCCCCAAATTTTCTCTCATAACCCCAACAACCCCAAAAACTCCATTGCATCATTCTCAACCATAAATCAACTATCATTATCCACCAAATTATTTCCTTTACTCATCCCAATCAAACATGCATCAATAAATATAACTTCCCTTACCTCTGACAAAGATTCCGAGCTCCGGGAAACGGAAGACGAAAAACGGAGAAGAAGAGAGTTGGAGAAGAAGATGAAGGAAGAGGCTCCACACGTTTTCAACCAGAAATCAAACCTTCAATCAGCACCTTAATTTCAAATGGAGCACCAACAAGAGAGCACAAAATCAGCCACAGAGAAGTGCAAGTGAGAAGTGAGTGAGTAGAGAGTCAAGTGTTCTGGAAGAAAAGGAAAAGAAAAAAAAAGGGTCTCACATAGAGTTTTTGAACAACTTAACATTAAATCAACATAACACAAATTTTAACAAAACCAACAACACTTAATAAAAATGTACATTGTTTCACTTATAATTTATTTTAACTTTTAATATATTATCTACAATCATTTTTATTATTTTAATATTTTTCTTATTTTTTTTTAATTCATTAACTTAATTTTTAAACACTTATTTTTAATAAATTGATACTGTAAAAACTTCTTTATATTTTTGTTTAATGTATTGTTAGAATTTTATTTTACAAACTTGATTATATATTTAATTATTTATACCAATAACGTTCAGTGCATTTTTTTTAATATTAAACTATTATTTAGTAAAAAATAAAATGTCTTAATGAACACATATTATTGATTATTAGTTTAAGATAATTAGTCATTCATGTTTATGAACTAGGAAAAAATATTTATGACAGATGATAAATAACTAAAGTTTCTTTAAAAGAAATAAATCTTGCTTAGGTAATTTTTATATTTTGAAAGGAATTGGTCTCAAATTCTTTAGAAAAGATAAATTTTATTTCAATTATTTCAGGATCTTGAGAATAGTTGATGTAACATCCCAATTTTTTTTTAATATAATAGTTTAATTATTATTCATTTTTATATTTATTGAAATTATTATTTTTTCATAATTTTTTTTAATTAATTAAATGAGTTTTGAAGAATATTTTAAAAGTTTTTAATAATTATGAGTACTTTAATTAAATAATAAATATTTATAAAAATTATTTTGTATAATATTTATTAGAGAACTATGTATTCTTATGATATTTTATTATAATAAGTATTTAGACAAAATTATATGTTTTATTGTAATTATTTATATATTTTATTTTAATTATAATTGTGTTGGAAGAAATAAATATATTTTATATATTATATATTTGTTAATTATTAAATATTATATTTTATTATAATTATTTGGATTATAATAAGTATTTAGACAAAATTATATGTTTTATTGTAATTATTTATATATTTTATTTTAATTATAATTGTGTTGGAAGAAATAAATATATTTTATATATTATATATTTGTTAATTATTAAATATTGTATTTTATTATTAATAATTATGTTTAAGTTATCTTATAAAAGGAAGAAAGTGTGTTTATTATTATTAGGGGTGGGTATATGGACTTGAGTCCGCGGACCGGTCCGTAAGTCCGCGGACTTCACGGATAACGGGCCCATTTTTTTAATCCGTATAATCATACGGACTTTTTATGTCCGGTCCGTCTAGTTCGTGGATTTTACGGATTTAATCCGCGAGCCCGCGGATTACTCGTTTAAATGTGGACTCAAATTTTATTATTGAAGATGCTTGATTATATTTGATAGATGTAATTGGACTTACAAATATTTTATGTTTATTTTTAAGATATTAATTAAGACTTTGATGTTTTAAGGTATTTAGACTTTGATGTACTTGGACTTAGAAATGTTTTATATTTGTTTGGTTGTGTATTAAGACTTTTAAAGTTTTAAGGTAGTAAGGCTTTAATATTTGGTTAATAGTTGGTATGCTTGGACTTTAAATTTTAAAGGCATTGAGACTTAAATATTTCTATTAGAAATTTAGAATGTGTAAACTTTGTTATTTAAGACTTTGATTTATTATTTACAATGTTTGATGTTATTATTAGAAGTATATTTATATCATTTTATATGTTTTTTT